GCAAAAAGCTTCGACCATGGAGAGGTGCGTAAAGTTTCCAGTTGAAAACGAGAAGCGGCGTTCGTCGGCTTGAAAGAACTTCGGGCTGCCAGGGGCAAGCCGCGCTCGCCGGGTTCTTTGACTTCGGTGGCGGTGTAGATGCGCCGAAAGTTCACCGTCAGATCCTCAGTAGTCAGTGAGCCGCCGATGGTGAAGCACTGCTGGTGGGGTGGCAGCGTGAATGTGATGCCCTCGAGCTCGGGCGGTGATCAAGCGAACAGACAGAACATGGTATCAGGCGCGAGCCGCTTCTGCAAAAGTATGGGCTCCTCAGGTTTTGATGGATTTGCAGATGCAGCCCCTAGCATAGAGCTCTTTGCATACTTTACGCTGACAGTCATATCCGGGAACTGAGCCAGTAGTACAGAGCGCATGAGGAAGCCGAACTTGGGCATTTGAACATGACCCAGCTTCTCATCGGGAGTCATGAGGCGTAGGTTGACAGCCTTCTTGATGGCGGCGCGGCTTTCATCAGCAGCAGGCTCGTTGGCCCAGTGGTTGGCAAGACTCAAGGCGCCGTCGACCAGGGCATCGCTCCAATTCTCGTCGAAGTAGCAAAAGCGAAGCGTCTCCTCGGGCAAGTGAGATGGTTCAACCACGAGATAGTGTGCAGGTACATTGGCGAGGTGCACCTTATCAATGATCCACGAATACACGTAGGCGCTGTCTGTGTTGGTCGGCACATTGTGCTCGTTATAGAGCGTGCCGTCAGTTGCAAGAGCAAAGGACGCTGCAGCGGCGTCGGCGTGCGCTGATGTCCGAGGCGCCATATGCTGCGAGCGTTGTGACGTATCGATGTTGCCATGCTTTCCGTCCATGGCCTGCACATTATTGTGTTCAACATCCCATCGGCGGCCACTGGCGGTCGTGGCGGCCTTGATAGCAACCCGATCGCTCTGTAGTAGGTTCCCATTGAGATCGTCAAGGCCGCGGACAAGGTCAAACATTCGGGCGACTGTGTCTTTTCGCGATGCATACTCACTGATGGCCGTGTGAACATCGCGCTTGGCGGCACCCTGTGATTGCGAGTCGATGGCCATGCGCAGGCGCGAAAGAGCGACGCAGAAGGCTGGGTCACCCATGGCCAACGTCTTGCCGAGCTGCCAGGCGCTGGCGTAGGTGAGGTCCATCAGGGAGAGATCTGGGTCGAGGATCTGAAGGTCTGTGCCAAAGTTGGACTGCATCACAAAACCCTCGCGCAGAGGGTGCGGCACAAATGTCGGCGTCAAGGGCCCTCGCGTCATGGCAGCCGTTTCTTCGCCTGTTACCGTCCGATGACGCACGATCGTGTACCCGTCTCTCTGGCGCTGCTTGACAAGGTCTTTGACCGAGGGCGATGATGGCATGTCAGGTCGGTCTTCCGGCATTTCAGGCCGCACGACCGTTAATGTGTTGCCGAGATGCGTCAAACGGGAAAATGAGCTCGCGTCTTCGTTCGAGGGCCTACCGGTATAAGTCCAGCTGTGAAGACTGAGAAGAGCGGCATGCGTGACATTCTCCGAGAGAGGCAGAGTGATGTTGGTTGGCATATCCAGGGATACGAGGTGAACGACCATGTTCGTCGGCACTGGGGCACCGATGGGTCCTGTGCGATGGGACAAGACGATGCTGAAGACGGCTTCGAGAGACTTTGGATCCGAGCCGAGCTCAGAGCCGGCGGCCGCCATGCCGTCAGTTGCCACTTGTCGAACGTGAGCGAGATACTTGTGTTTGGTGTTGTCGAGAGCCGTGGCGTTGCCTGGCTTGCTGAACAGCGGCACGAAGAGGCTCTTGGGCAGAAAGATGACATCAATGGGTTCTGCTGCCTCCCGTGCGTCCTCGTCTTTGTCAAACGATAGAGCATTGCAGAGACGGGAATTTTCGCCGAGCTTCGGAATTTGCCCGGCACTCATGCGGACAGCCATACTTTCACTCTGTTTGCCATCGACCTCTGTGGCCACCGTCGCGAGAAGGCCGGCGAGGTCGGCCGGAGCTAGCTTCAGCTCGTCTACGGCAAAGGCCAAAAGCGCAACCCACGGCGTCAGGCAACGAGGATCTCCTTTTTCGTCCTTGTCCGAAGCATCGTCAGGGCTATAGGCGGCCTCACGTTCCCACGGGAGGTGAGGGTCTTTGAAGCTGATGTGAGGCAGCACCGTCACCTCAGCCATGGCACCAGGGGCTGGAAACATTGAATCAATGCATCCAACAGGCAAGTTGAACTTGGGTGCGATGACATAGAGGTTCAGCGACTCCTCGGCGATGGCATCTTCGCGGCGCTTGTCTTTATCGGGGCCCTCGGCGGCTTTGTCGGGGGGCGCTGAAATGGTTTGACTGACTTTTACGGTGTGCAAGCCGCCTTTGAGCGAGGGCGAGTAGAATGAGTAGAACCGGGCCTCGCCGGGTAGAATGTTGCGGGCGACACCTGAGAGGATGCATTTGGCGCGGCGATGCGCCAGCCGCCTGTGAGAGGAGACCATGGATTCTTCGCTGCTCGGTGTTGAGAATTTGCTGCTATTTGCTGCTATTTGCTGCTTTTCCACAGAGAAATGGAGAGGAATTCTACCGAGATGAGTTGAGGGCTGGGCTTAAACTCGAGCGGGAGGCAATGCTCTCGAAAGCATCACGAGAAAGATGACAGGCGGAGCAGGCCTAGGAGAACAGCGCGAACAACAGCAAAGCCACCAAGATCACTTCAGTGGTCGAATTACGACAGGCCTTGGAAGTACTACCGCGTATAGAGACTGAAGGCCTGGCCATGTGTGCAGAGAGCATGTTGAGGCATCAGCTTCGATCTAGCCGGCTGGTGCAGGGGGTCATCTGTGGTCAAGACGACAAAAGACCCCCTGCGCGAGAGGCTACCGAATGCATTGTCGCGTCGTGCCGTGCCATGTGCCATGTGCTTAGCACGATGCCACCACCAGAGTAAGGCAAGGCCTGCGTCTAGCTGCCCAAATCGTTGGCTATCGTATTTCGCTTCCCGCTTTTAGCCCAGTAGGCTTCTCAATCGAGACAACCCCTCCCCGACCCTGGCTTTCAGCTGTCTTTGAGCCGCGCTAGTGTTCCATTCAGAGTCATCGTCAGGCCCAGGCCCTGGAGTTCGCTTCTGGGCAGACAGCTACTGTGGTTGTACTGCATCCACTATCGAATTCCAGCGCGCGCCATGTAGGGCTTGTTCTCAAACAGGCAGGCCTTGCTTGGTATCAAGACCAGCGAGGGTAAATTGAAATGAATGGTCTCCGAGAAGCAAGGAGACGGACCCAAATTCTGCAAGCGACCTATAGTCGGCTCCGTGGCATCATTAATCCTTGCCGCTTAGCATCGTCGACATGTTGTCCAAGGAAAATCTTGGGTGATCATTGTTAGGTCTGGATTTCAATGGGTCGACTCCAGCTAGTACGTAAATCGCAGCTACAGACAATAGCTCAGGGTGCAGGAAAATGATTTTCGCGGGAAGGGAATTATTCGTTGCAATTTCAATGGATATTTCCAGGAAGTCAGCTGCTAAGGACTTGATCGTTAGACTTCTTCGAAGAATCATACAACGGCTTCAATATCATGTCTTCGACTTCTTCTCGCGGCCCAGCATCATGAGATATCCCTCCAGTGCCGTATGCGGCCCACGATCAAATCTGGCACGCTCGTCCTCAGCTGGCACCGGCAACGCCATGTATCTCTCGAGCGCTTCAATCGGAGCCGGTGGCACCACGGGACCGTCACTTGCTCTGCCACCATCATCCTCGGCCGGAGGTTGTTTTGCTTCCCCTGGGTAATACGGCTGCAGCCATGCCCAGTCGCCGCCCGCCACAGCCGGAAGTCCAACAGCCCCCTCCTCGTGCTTCACGTCGGGGAGCGTGATAGCAACACCTGGCGCAAGCTCACGATTGTCGTCAAAGTTTGCAACGTCTTTCGTGACAATGATGGGGCCAGCGTGGAAGAAGGCTTTCATCCTCGCTAGGGCACCCTGCCAAGTCCACGGCGGTAACGACAGTTCCCGCACAGGCAAGATCCCCGAGTAGACGTGCAGCGGCACAAACGGATCCGTGAGTGCTCCAAAGACCTGGAGTCGCGCATTGTGTCGACGTGCATACTCTTCGGCATCAACCACGTGGCGCGGCTCAGGACTTTCGTAGTATGCATTGAGATGCACAAGCTTTGAATGTGCGACAGGTGGGAGGTGATCAGGATCTTCTTCCACCTCGTTTCCGCCAGGTGCGAAGTCTGAATGGATACTCTTGAGCGCGAGCCCGAGGTCTTTAGTATCCTCTGGGGACAAGCTCTCGCGGCACTCAAAGTAACCCACGAGACCATCGAACCCACGCTGCCTGTCACCAATCTTGACGCCAAATGAGTACTGTTCATTGCCTGTGCCGGGTAGCAATCCATGGGGTGGCTTTCTTGGCCGAGTCTTGGAATCTCCATCTTCCTCTTCCTGCTCGCCATCAGCCTGGCTCACGAGGGCATCAGCTGCCAGCTCCAGTGACCATCCGGCATACACGAGAGCCAGTGGACGCCCTATAAGCGCACTCGCGAACTCGGCGTAAGCCTCAGGCGCAGCAGCGGCATCCATTTCTGACGTGGACGTCTCGATCATATTCCAGAAGGCGTGAAGAAATTTCGGATCACCTCCGAGCCGCTGCACGAGAAGCTGCAGCTGCTGCATCTCTGGCTTTTTGGGCAGATCGTCGCCGGCTTTGGGTGGCCGGAAGGGTAACCATTCAGGCGAGGTCTGGGCACCCGAGGGTCCTGCGAGTCGAACCTCCCGGTAGAAGGTTCCGTCCGGGAGGAAGAGCTGTATGCCTGTGTTGGCGTAATTGATGACCACCCAGCCCCAGATGGGATTCTCCCACTCGTCTGCTGGGCGCCAGAAAGGTGTTAACGTTTTTGAGGAGGGCAAGAGCCTGCCGTTCTGTGTGATAATGCCTTCGTCGCCGTCGGCATCGTCGGTTTTGTCAGCTCGCACAACGAAAGTTGCGTTCAGACGGGCTTGTTGATTGATCTGAGGCGGAATCTGCATGAACTCGCAGGGTTTGGGGTCCTCATCGCGCACATCATCGTCATCGCCATTACCACCATCCTCATGGCTGGGAACTTTCCTCGTGAGACCTTCATCTCGTTCGACAACATTCGGCTCCCTTGCCGTGCCATCTCCTCTCAGCTGCGGCGCGAGCCACTCGCCAATGCATGGCCATACCTTCTGCGGGTTCTTGCTTGGCCGTGGATCAATAGCGTGGATGGCCTGGCCGAATTTGTCAATAATGTTAAGACGTGTGAGGCGGAACTAGCCATGCGTCGCCGGCTTGAACAATGGTTCTCCCGTCGTGGAGGCTTTCATGGACTTTCCAAACGGAGTATTGTCAGTTTCGATGCCGATGCTTCTGAGCTGCGGGTGTTGAGAGGGCTTCACTGCTTATGTGAACCCCAATCCAGTACTTCCGCTGTGCTTGCGAGCTCTGAATAGGTAGGGTATCTGATAAGTCTTATGATGGTTGATTCTTGTGTAATTCTTGTCTGCTTCTCTGAGTTACTGCTACCTACGTGAGTCAGATATACCCATCTGCTCTCAGCGATCACGTAAGCCGTAGTTCACGTGCTCCTGAGAGCAGTGGATACCAGATATCCCAGATACCTTAGATATCGCCATCCTAACCATAGAGTTCCCTAATATTGGTTCAACAGCGGGGTCTCAAAGCCCCCGTCTTTGCGCTCTGCCTCCTTTATGGGCACTACCTCGCCCGTACCGCCGTGACGCAGATTAGATTTGATGTGATTGCCCTGCTGTACTGTTGTCAAGTGCGCCGCCAGCCCAGATAGTGGTGCTGACAGGAAAGGCAACTGATGAAGTTCGCGAAGTAATTCCTCTCGTTTGTGCTTGTCGAGGATCCGCCGTTCTTTTTGTCCTTCTCCGTGTCATTTTCATTGTTATTTTCCTCATCTTGCTCGTCCTCCTTATCCTTCTTGTGATTTTGTTTGTCTTCGCCGAGGTCACTTGCTGGAGTGCTATCAAATAGTTGTCGGATCTTAGCTTCAAGCGAGAATGATGGCTGCGGTAGAATCAGCACCCGCCCCTGAATCTTGTGCTTATCAGATGCCTTATTCTTCGTTTCTTTTGCTAGATCCACCTTCTTGCCGTCGATGCCGTATCGCAGCCGCTTTGTCTTAAAAGTTCGGCTCGAGAGAGGTGCCAGGGTCCAGAGATAAAACGGCACGTGGTGATACTCGATCTCCCACCCGAGGAACAGTGGGAACCATGGCTGTGTGTTATTCCAGCGGTCGCGCCAGGGCCCCATTTTGACCTGATCGCCATCGCGATGCTCCTTTTTGTCGTGGAAGAGCGGTGCTTGCACGTTGTCAGCGAGCGCCGGCTCAAGATCCTCCGTCTGCGGGCGTAGCAAGACAAATTCGTCAACGAGCCGCTTAATTGCAGGTCGGAGTTCCTTCGGCAGCTTTGGAAGCACAATCGTGCCAAGCTCGCTCCATGATGGGCCATCCGTTGTGTCGGGCTCTGGTACATCGGGACTTGGCTGTACTGGCCTCGGCTTCTCCAATGCTGTCACCGTCTGAGATTCATGTCGCATGAGAAGATCATCAAGGTAATCGTACTGCCAGCCAGACTGGATGCCACCAATAAGCAGTGTCGGGTCTCGCTGCTGGTGGAAAGCAGGCCTTGCTCCCGGTTGGACCGTCCTGGTTGTCTTCTCAGGCCCGGCTAATCCATTGATCTCCGCGATGAGATCCTTTCGGCGGTTCTCAAGCTCGCCAACTCTTGTATCCAGCTTGCGCACACGAGGGCCCGTCTTGACTTCACGCTGTTTGGTGGCATCCGAGACGAGCCACCACCAAAGAGCAAACATCTCCCATCGAAGCCGGGCTGTTGTACGCTCTACGCCGTCAAGCAGTTTTTGAAGGATGTTTAGTCTCCGAAGGTTACCGAGAACAGCTGGAGGCGCTATGGGGCGATCCTTGTTTCCGCCATTGCCATTCTCCTCAGCACCCGAGGTATGCCACGCTTGGCCACCATCGCCATGTAGGTAGTTCCAGTTGTAAAGCAGATCTTTCGCCTGCTGCTGTGCTTCAACACCATCGTCCCGCGCAAGCAGGTGTCGCTCAAGGGCACCAATATACTCTTCAAGTTTGTGCGGGATGCTGTCGACCGGATCAATCTTACGCATTGCCCGCGCATACGTCGTCAGCGCGTCCAGAGGCGTCGTGCCAACAGCAACTGGCAAGCTGCTGTTGAGATGCGTGGAAAAGTCATCGGCTGGGACCTTGGCCGGTTTCTTGTCAACATCCCAGTTTACGTGATACATAGCGCCATGGCACACAAGCCGCGTGTCGGCCTGTGAACCGAGCCAATTCTTGAATTCTTTCTCCTGGTCCTTCTTGTCGGCCAACTTGATACGTAGCTTCAACAGTCGTCGGCGGCGCTGATGAAGGGCGACACATCGACTTGCAGGTCCTCCTCAGGTCCGAGTTCTTCGAGAGCGCGGAGCCTGTCGCTCTCAACAACCCATGCGGTGAACTCCTTGACGCTTCCTCGAGCCTCAGGCGGCATGATCGATGACGAGTCGCTGATGTGGCGGATGACGAGCCATCGTCGGTGCTTTAGGAAATGAAGGCGATGAGCCTTTGGCGGTTCCAGGCACTCCGCGGTTGTTGTTTTCGTCATCATTCTGGTTGTCGTCTGTTTCCACTTTGAGATCGTCGAGACCCCTTGCGGCCCGCGCATCTCGGAAATCAGCTCCTTTCGCGACTTCGGGGCCAGCCGCTGCAATGCCGCTGCGGTAAAGCCGTGGCATAGTCCAGTGCAAATAGACACCGACGCGGTGCTTTCTTGTCGTGTCGCTCCCAAGATCAGTGAAGCGTGAATTGAACCCCGACGGCCATGAGTTGTTCAGGTCAACCGGGTTCTGAATATCTGGCTGGATGACATCGCGGTCCAGCCGCAAAAACGTGTAGTTGGGTTGGGTAATAGGCGCGATCTTGGCCGCTGTCGGGGTTGGAAGCCGTGTCTCGGTTGGTTCATTGTCCTCTTGAGTGCCTGCAGATTCAGGAGGGACTCCATCGCAGACCTTGGAATTGAAGACGAAGGCGTCGACTTTGACGGGGATCAGAACGGTTTGGTCGTCCACAGGAGTCGCCATGGTGTTGACGAGGGTGGTGATAGTTTGCGTTTGGGCTTGTATGGCCTCCGCAATTTACTCGGATTTATGAATTTCGATATTTCACTCCGATCCTCTATCTCCGCGTCAAGGTGTGTCGGATTATCTTCGCTCGAGTTCCTGGGGGCTACCTCACCTCGTGATGTATCTGCACTTCAACACAAGACAAGTGGTTGACAAAGTGGGAGAAGATGTTCAGAACGACGGGCGACAGCCTCCCCGGGCCGGAACTCGGTGATAATCCAACTATGGAGGTTCGCATCGACAAAACAGATCTATGAGCACCGGACTTACTCAGGGTGCGCATCGGCGCCGCAAACCTCATCGGTCGAAACTTCTTCTCGCACAGTGACCCTATCGCAACAGCCATGGAAAGGATCGAGTCCGTCGACATGGTGCAGCTCATGGAGCGTGTACCGCCCGAGACCCCAAAACTACACGATGGGGAGACGGCTGCCGGGACTGTTCCGCATTTTACTGCGTCGCCGTCAGTTGTCGCGTACTCGGGAAAACGGTGCTTCCGCAGTTCACGTACAAGAACAAAACATCCATCTGCAATCTGGTCATCTGGAACGATGACTCTCGCCGCGGTACACACTACCTGGCGGGCGATGCCAACTCGGAGCTTGAAGAGGCCATCGTTCAATGGATGAATTACAATTCGGATGATAACAAGAGTGTGATGGTCGCCAAGATGTCGCATCACGGCGCAAGTTCGTCGAATCCAAGATCATCATGGGCGCGCCTCAAACCGTACCGTGTCGTCGTTTTGGCTGGTGATCACAAAAGCCACGGACACTCACCTAAGTTCTGGACTATCCGTTTCAACACACTCTTTGAGGCTAACGACTCTATGTTGAAGGTTGGAAGGTACTTCACGACATGTTCTCTTGGTACCTGTACAACACATCGTCTGTATTGAAAGCCAAATTTCCGTTGTATTCAGGTGGTTTTGGTGGTCGAAAGCTCACTGTGTTCACGGCATCTGTACACGTTGCGAGCATCAGCCTGACCTTTGTGCAGTGGCGAGACACGTCATGGCAATCGACGACACCTTCGAAGCGCATCATCAAAGTGTCGATCGGTGACATGGGCGACATCGATGCGCCGCTGGTGGGGAAGCTGAAACAACCCTTCGACCAGCTCGTTTACATGTGGGTGAGCGACAAGGCCACAGCTGTGGTCGACAAAGCCGCTAAGCCTGGTGTCACCAAGGGTGACCTTGACGCGTTGCTGCCCGGGCTTGAACACGACCAGGACAAACTCTTCTCAAAATCCAACAAGGAGCCAAACGATATCAAGCCGAACGAGATCTTCATTGAGCCAGGATCACACTTTATGGTTGTCGCAACCAACAGCAAGGGCTTACAGGCGGCGGTGCTGGATTATCGTTTCAACCGGTCCAAAGGCTCCGAGAAGAAGGAGAGACCGAGCGGCTGGGATGATTGGGACGAGTGGCTCATTGAGGACGGCGATCAGAATGACGAGGACGTATCGAAGGCTGCTTTCAAGGTGTCAGCTGGCCCGCTCGTGTTCGAAAACATTGGACTGAAGTACATCCAAGAGGAGAACCGTCTGGGCGTGGTTCTCGACGCAAGCTTCCTAATGGGGCCCATCGGTATATGATTGATGGGTTTCTGTCTGAGTTTGAAGCTGGGCGAGGCTAAATCTTCCGATGCTGAACATTACAGTAGCAGTCGCATTGCCCTCCCAGAATCCCACCCCTCAGCTCTACCTTGCTCGACTCCTATCATCCGCGCTGTTCAAGGTTGAGGCTCAACTCTCGCCGCGATTTTTCGTCCTTCACGAAAGATGTCATTTGACCGGCGGCCTCGCCCTCTTCTCCTGGTTCGGCGACAGTCCCCATGCCGGTGACTGGGTCATGACCATTGGTGGGTTTCACCAGGCATTTGATAAACCTCTCCAGTATCCTCGACCCCCTCGCCTCGGCATTTCTTGGTCTCTTGGGGATAATCTGCGCATCACTGGCGAAGCCTACTTCGCCATCACGCCCCGCGTTTGCATGGGTGGTGGCCGCCTGCACGCCCATTTGACACTCGGAGCGTTGTCCGCCTGGTTTGACGCCTTCCTTGATTTCCTGATCAATTACCGGCCCTTCTGCTTCGCTGCCGTCGGCGGTGTATCTATCGGAGTTCGTTTCTCTTTGGACCTCTGGCTCGTCACTATACGCATATCATGTGAGATTGGGGCGACACTCACCGTTGCGGGGCCGCCTATGGCTGGCACTGTCCACGTCGATTTCTGGGTCTTCAGCTTCGACGTCGATTTCGGTGACAAGACTGGCATGGCGAGACCTGATAGGCTGTCACTCAGTGATTTCAAGGCTTTGGCTCTCAAATCTGCGCCCTCCGGGGCCCCAGTGCCCCTGGCCAGCGGCTGGTTGGACGTCGCCAGTGGACAGAACGGCGACGACGACGCAGACGACTTTGACGAGCAGGAAGCACCACCAAAAGCATTCTTATTTAACTGCGTGGGAGGTCTTGTTCCCGAAGGCAGCGATGCCAAGGGGCCAGAGGCCAACGCCTGGTATGAGGATAAACCAGCCAAGATATGGCTGGTTCGTGGAGACGATCTTTCCTTGTCAATCACTACGTCCTTTGCCGCCAGTGACGGCGTGCTTTTCGATGATCGAAAGGGTGCAATCACGCCGAAGAAATTGGCCGCGATCGCAGAAGCGCAGAACAAAGTCTACGCCCTCCCGATGTGTCTTCAGCAGACAATCATATCGACCGTCGAGGTTAGAATCACACGGGTCGAAAGCAGGTCGAGGGTGGTGAGGACCTTAGGCAATGAGAGAAGTGACACAGAGTGGGGGATACACCCCATTCTAAAGACTGTGCCACAGTCGATATGGGGATACTGTAAGTGGCATTTCACCCGTCTTCTTGCCAACCTAATTGCTTGTCATGGATCGAGTTTTTTTTTTTTTTTGAATTGTGATACAACGGCGACATGACTTTCAATGGTTCAGTAATGGTTCAGACGCTAATAATCAGTATAGACGATCCCGAAAAAGACCCCGTGCTCAGAGGCAAGCACGTTTCCGGCCTTCTTGACGGCAAGCCTGCCGATGCACCGCCTCTTGTCATGGGCCTGACAATCGAGCCTCCGAAGCCTTACATCTCGCGTGACGCCATACCAAAGTTTAATCTGGTGGAGGACCTCAAGCTCACGGTCGACAGCAAAGGATTTGCCTTTAAAAGAAAGGAGACCGCAAGTCCCATGTGGGCGCCGCCACATCAAGATGGCAGCTGGGACAATTTCAAGGAGAAATGGCAAAGTCAGCCAGACAGCCGTCCGGAGGAGGCCGTATGCTTATGGGCAGAGAGGCTGAAATTCAAAGGCCTGACGGGGTTGAGGCCGAAAGCACTGCTGAAGAGGTTTGATGACATCGTGCCCGTGTTGCCTTTGATTGCGGTTGGGACGGGAAGTTGATGGTCTTGCTAGAGGAGTTTCTAGTGTGGCTGGATTACTGGAGGGTTCATTAGGCATGTGTCATTTCAGGGTACATTCCGGGCTGGCTGTTGCTGGATGGTAGGTACACTTCATGCCGATAATCGAGATGATACGCGATTTGCTGCTCATGAGTAAATGAACGTCACGGTATTCTGTTGGCAAAGGTAGGTCACTGATGAACTACTTTACATCAGCAGGCTTTCAATGCAATACTGTGGAACAAACAAGACCCAAGGCTATCACATTTTGCCCGACCATTCTTCCTGGAACGGCACCCCGGATTTGGTTGTGTCCCCCAGGCTGGGTGATCCATGAGGAATATTGATCTGCTTCTACATGATCAGGACCTAGCTACCGGAACGTCACCTTGCATTCATGCAACAATCGAACCACCGCCGCAAGACATGTATCGGAAAAACGTGAATGATGAACGTGGTTTTATAGAGGTGCATGCAACATCAAGCGGAGGACAATCAGAAAACGGAACAGCAGAAATTGGGTTGTAGCAGGTTGTCTAGGCGGCTGGTCGGATCAACTGCCTGTATTAATGTGATTAGTGAGGGCGAGCTAACGCCTCTATATAATCAGAGAATCGTACAACATTATTACGTCCTTTCTCCTAAGCCCTGCCCCCATGAGAGCGGCACTGAGCAGAAGCGAAAAGAAACCACCTTCCTTCTTACCAAGACTCTGAGAGCCCTTGCCCTACCAGGCACCCGAAGCGACGAGCGCTTAGATGAGCTGAGCGGCAACGAGGACGGCGCCGGCGGCGACGAGGAGGCCGGAGGCGGAGTTGATAACACCAGCATCGACCTCAACAGTGGTGGGGACAGCGCTGGTGCCGTTGCCGGAGGCAGTGGGGACGGAAGCGACGGTGGTGGTGTGCTCGTCGTCATCGGCGGAGGGAGCAGCGGAGGGAGCGGCGGAGGGAGCGGCAGACTCAGCAGCAGACTCGGAGGGGGCAGCGTAGCTGGGGGCAGCAGCATCGGTGGTGACGGCGGCGGCAGTGGTGGAAGGGGCGGCAGGGGCCTCGGACTCAACGGGAGCCTCAGACTCAACAGGGGCCTCAGACTCAACAGGGGCCTCGGACTGGGGGGCGGCAGCGGTGGTGGTGGTCACGGCGGCAGCAGTGGTGGTCACGGCGGCAGCAGTGGTGGTGGTCACAGCAGCGGCGGTGGTCGTCTTTGTTCAGGTCAGCTACATGTTCTGATCATACGGACCGTGTTTGGAAAGTGGATGGAACTTACGGGCTCGCGGGGAGGAACAGTGATGGGGGCACCGAGCTCTGCGGGATGTTTTAGCATGTTGTTGATCATGGGGGCTATTCAAGTTCGGGTTCGAATTCACTCACCCGAGCAGAGGTTCACGCCAAAGGCGACAGCAGATTCGGCCTCAGCGGCGCAGTCATCGTAGACGCAGTCAAGGAAGTGGCCCTGAAGGGAGGTGCTCTTGCAGAAGCAGAGGTACATGTTGGCCTCAGTGCAGTCGAGAGGAGGGAACTCGGTGACGACATTCTGGAAGCAGGTGATCTGATGGGTTGATTAGTTGGTTGTTCAACGTTATCATGGCGTGCCTGACACGTACAGCGCAGAAGGACTGGGCGGCGGCAATGGTGGCCAGGGAGAGGACGGTGGCGGCAGCGGCGGTCTTCATTGTGTCTGTTGTGGGGGTTGAACTCGAGCTTGAAGCTTGTTGATGTGATGAATTTGACGGGCTGGAGAGCTGATAACGAGCGAGTGGACAGAGTAATCAGTGAACGAGAGTGCTGATGATCGGGATGAAGATGGAGGCTGGGATGCAGGACAGAGGGCCTGTTTGAGTCTATATACTGGCAGAAAAGCCCTCGCTTCGGCCCCACGCAACGCAAGGTACGAGCAGGCATCAAGGCCGCGGGCAGCGTGCTGCAACCTGCAACCTGCATCCGTGGCATCGCCTTGGCCGGCCCATCGTTCGGCTACAGATCCCAGGGAGGGTGAAGAACCTGCTCGATTGGCCGTAAGAGGGGTCCGCCGGTTGGTGCGTGGCTGCTTTGGTGGCGGCCGCGATAATTTACGCAATGGAGTAGAGTGGTTCTAGGTGACCAGCGTGGCCCACACGAAGCAAGCCTCGGGCTGGGCTGACAAGGCCTGGCATAGTCGCTTTAGAGTTATCAGATCATCAGATAATCATTGGGGCACTGACCCCTGAAACCCTGGTCAAGGAATGATGATACCCACCAACAGGCGGCCAGGGACCCCCTTCGAGGCCAATCCCCTCCATCTCATCCACCGCTCCTCAGCCCACGGGGTCAGGCCTATCTGGTTCTGGGCTTGCCGATGAGCCGCTGTTCCCGGTATCGGAGGGGCCATGTCTAGCCGCGATGGGCTTATCTTGCCCAACGCGAAGCCATTTCAAGCAACGTTCCTGGCCTTGGCAGACCGCTCTGTTGGCGGGTACGGTCGTGCCTCTTCTATTGCCTCGCTCACATGCGCCGTCACGGCTCAGCTTGCCTGTCAGAGGGCCTGATCCTTGTTGTCGCTTCATTACCTCGTCTCTGCTTTCGTTCACCCACACACGATTTCGCTGTCTCGCCCGTGTGATCCGCATGCGTTCCGTGCTGTCCGCTTTGACAAACAAGCTTCTTCTCTGGGACCCTCGGTTTTGAGACCATGCATATGGAGGCTTGAAGCCATCGCCGGGACTCGGGGCGGAAATACGAGCCGACAGAATTTTTCCTTGGCTTCTAACCAGGCCACTCTGGGCACTACATTTACACCACCAACTTTGCCGCAGCTGAGCCGTTCACCCTGGGCATATTCCCTTTTTTTTACGCCATCAACTCACATGGCACGCAGTCTGACGGCGGCAGCAATCTTCCGCTCCATTGGGGGCGTCCGTCACATCGACATGGGGGGCCTGGGCGTTAATTGCTATGCCATCAGACAAAGACTTGTGCCTTCAGGTTCTGATTAGATCTGATTGATAAAAATTGTGATTGAAGCTAGCGAGACGAAGCATAAAGCTAGCGACGTCGTAGCCGCGAACCCCGGGCCGACCAACATTTGTACCGTGTCAACCTGACCGAGTCATCGTCACAACTTCATCCATGTCCGTCCTGCCCCTTGCGGTCACATCCCCCTCCCCCACCCACGTCCCCACTCACATCGCCAATGCATCCTACGCCCTATAGAGAAGCGTGACATGACCCTGTCACGGTGCTGTCTAGAAGCACTGCGCTGGAAGCCACGAGATTGGTGCGCCCGCCTCTGTAATCTCTTGTTAGCCAGGCACGCGCTTCATTCTCCCCCGTCTTGGCCGGAAGCCCCCGGATCGCTCTCTTCAAGGCAATTTTTCTCTCCCTTTCCGCGTGTTGCCAGAGCTTTTGCAGACTTCTGTTCCATGTGGGAAATGACTTACGTGTGCAAATGTCCAGGCCATACTGGACGGCGCTGACGGCCGTTGCGGTAGAAGGGCACTCCTGGCAGGCGCAGTCACGGTACGCGAGGGCGAGGAACGTGCTCTTGCAGAAGCAGAGGAACATGTTGGCCTCAGTGCAGGTCTGCGCCTGAGGAAGCTGCATGGTCTTTTCGAAGCAAGACAGCTATTTGGGTGGGAGAAGATGCATCAGCCTGGCTTGCCTTCTTTTTGTCTCCGACGAGAGGCGATGTTGTGATCAGGAGGAGGCGGGAAGGGCGGACGGGAGGGGACGGCAGTCATCTGGGCCAGCTTGGCTGGGCTGGTGTACTTACAGCACATAGGGGAAATTGAGCCGAGACGGTGGAGACCAGAGTGGTGGCGGCAACGGCCAGGATGGTAGCGGAGAACTTCATCTTGTTGGTTGAATGGTCACGTATTCTCACGTGTTAGAAGGACTATCGAATCGTGTTGGTGATGAGGATGCTGATATGTGGGCTTGGATGAACAAGTTTTAGATTCAAACGAGATTAAACAGCCTTCTTATACATTCTCCAAGAGGCATCTCCGGGAGACCATCATGCACCTCGGCCTCCGAACTTGTCGTCCCACGATGCTCGTCAGAGCCTTTGCTTCATGGCCCTCAAATGCCTCAACCTTCGGGGCAAGACTTTTTTTCGACTCGAGCCCGGACTCTGCAAGCCACAGACTGCAAGAGGAAGGATCTTCTGATCATGAGAACTCGTCTGGATGCTTGGCGCCACTCAGGATTAACCTGGGGGCGGCCCGCACGGCAAGTGGTGAGAAGAGTCAACGGCCGCTGGCGGGGCCCTGATCACAACATCCAATAGAACGAGCCTCAACCATCTAATCAGATGGAATCATGGCTGAAATCAGCCTATTCGTCCGGACAAGGACAGCTTCCTGCACCGCATAGCAGACAGGCCCCTCCTGGGTGATCCATCGTGCCTTGGCGCCCACGAAGCTACCTTGAGGAGTTTATGCTAGGCTCGGAGCAGTGCAGTGAAGCGAGGAAGGTGAGATCTGCGTCAATAGTCCTCGAACTTGAGCGCCTCAGTTCCATCTTTTGGCGGATAAATTGGAGCAGAGACATGGTGAAGATGGTGTTGCCACCGTGGAACAGTCAAAGCGGCGTATCAGGCATCGAGTCAGACAGTGCAAGATGTTGAACATGCCATGAGGCCTATGTCGCATGATCAAGGTTTTGCTGCCACAGGTGCTGTGCGGTTTTCTGGTCTTACGAGATGATTTTCGCAGACCTGAGAAGAAGCTCTTATCGAACGGCTCAACCGAACTCAGTCAATTCCCAAGTGACGAGACCTTGGTACCAAGATACAAGACCAGAGTACAGAAGCTTCAAGATGCCTGTGTGCCACCAACTCATGGATTTCCGTATGGCAGGAGACCTTTTCAACGGGCCAGTCTCATGTGCTGCATTTTAGTGGGCCATCTTGGCGTGCGTTCTGGTCTCACGCACTCTCGGCGGTCCGGTATTATTTCATTCTCAAGACACGGTGTAAGCGTTGGGACTTTCTCAGCGATGGTAGCTGCGTGGCAACTTTCTCAATCTGAATCACTTGAGGTTTCTGACTGTCACTGTGATCCTTTTCGTGTCAAGGATACTTCTTCTCATCTGGGACTTACTCATTGCCTAGCCATACTGTCTTGATGACAACACGACTGAGACAAACGCACAGCATAGCGTCAGCCTCAAGACTTTGTTGCAGTGACACTTACACACCAGCCTTGAAACTGTGACCAGAAAGACGTCATGCTGAACACCGAGTACGTTGCCACCTACTAGACTATATTATATCTTCGTGCGGTTCCTTCAAATCGTGGTTAGACGATACCTGCAAGTATCGGTGTGAAACTCGTCTTTGCGGACTTGATTTTGTCCTTGGTTCTACTAACCGCACCCTCAACTCGCTACTGCGCTGGCTAGGTGCCTGATTTCGGTCGAGAAACCCTCCAGCCTTCCTATTCGTAAATAAGCTTTCGATTTAGAGCAAAGTTGTCACGATATTTTGAGATAGCCGAGGCTACCCTCACTTTATTCGTGAATCGTGGGCGAGATTTCAATTCATGTCTCCTCGCCTGCACGCTCAAACCACCTACTGTGACACATTAGTGACGACGACCCACACCATGATGATATACTGAGCAACAACACACCATAGTGTCCTTTCGACCGCATCATCCCTTTCTCACGTCACATGTCTGAGTTCTCTGCATCATCAAAGTGATTTCTTTCCATTCTGGTAATTCTGGGCATGACCACCAACCTCTAGTCACTTGGGCCTTGCCAATCGTTAGGTGCTGTGACTTGTAAAACGCAAGTACAAGAAGGATCCAGGAATGTGTCACCGTCGATCAGTCTTCCTTACGAAAAAGCTTGAGCGGTGAGCTTAACATGTCATCTTTGTGAATCCATAGAAATTCCACTCAGCAGATTCCTTGTTCCACCATAGTATGTTGCGAGTAAATTCTGTAATGCCGATCTCAAGATACGATAGGGGTCGCACCATGATAGACGTTACACTCGAAGCGGTGCAATATGGTTCTACGGCCAATTTGATCCTCATCAGCTCCATGGAACCTAACAGGAGTTGGAACGCGTCTAGCTTGGATGTCCATCAGAACATAAATAGCGCCGGTTTCTGACTTTTTCTGGACAATCAAGAAGGTCTCTAGTACCCATCATCACTGCCATTAACTCTTACAATTACAACACTGTGCTTATCATTCTGACAATTCAAACCCGCAAGATGAAGACTTCAAACGTCCTCGCTCCTGTCGCGCTTCTCATCTTAACCACCCCGGCGCAGGCCAACATTGGCCAGGGGGCAAAATTGGCATTCGATCTCTTCGGAGAAGGGATTGGCTCCCTTTTTGTTCACATATTCGGCGGAAAGCGTGATGTCAGCTCCATTGATGGACATATCATCAGACGCGACCCTCCCCCTGGTGTTCCGGCTTTCGAATACGAGCGCTGTCGCAACGACATTTCGGGAGTCTCCGTCACGGCTACCTCTCCCGGACCTGGTTGTAAGTGCAATCTGCCAGTCTCTGCAAGAAATAGACTTCTTTGTTTCGAACCTAATCTTTTCCAGCGGTCCAATTTGTCGGAGTTCCAGCCAGCTGCATGAACCTGGCTACCGTCCTCATCGGAGACCCCGTCAACGGCCCTTATCCTTTGCCCTGCGGCTCTGACTGCCTGGTGTACAACAACCTGTCGCAGCAGCAATTTGACGATCTTGTCGCTGCTCTGCGAGCGAATGCCTCGTGATTTCGAGATGAAATAGATTCATAGGCGGAGGTTCATGGCTCGATGAGCATTCCCTTGTCGGCCCATGGACGACTACCAAGAGCTCAAGTCGGGATGCGTCTTCACATCATGTTGGTTCCGCAAGATAGATGAATCCAGCCAGCTGTTATGGGGTAGCCCATGTTAATTCAGTGTCGTGATCTTCCAACCTCTCCTGACTTCCGGGCTATTGAACACTGGAAGTGTAGTCGGCGAATCTATAATGCATATGTTCCGATATTCTATATATCAAGACCTCATCTGGGTTCCTCGAAACACATGCAAGAATTCAGGCTCAATAACAACCCGTCGTCGTGAACGTAAAAAGACAATACTCTTGGCTGAAGTCACGCTCTCCGGTATTGTTACGGTCGGCCTTAGAAGGCCAGGGAAGAAGCCGGATTCGTCGACATTGAAGAAAAGACTTTCAAGGTGAGTTTGGCCTGCTATTGAAATCCCATTTTATCGGTCGAGGTCTGACTATGTGACAGAATGCGATTGGCAGCTGGCATCAAGATCCAAGCCTTCGGGATATCGGCATCTATACGCGGCTTGCCTTTGCAAAGGACGCGAAGGGCACTGAGCTCTTCATTGTCACCACGCTGGGCTGGACTAGACAGGACGTTTCCGTGTACCTTGCCCGCTCCCGGCGTGAACTTCAATCCAAGAACATCCATGCATTCTTCCTACAGAAGGTTGTCTGGGGCCGGAAACCTACCACATCTTGACCGCTGCACACAGGGCTGGGAAAGCGATGTAGATCTATCCATATATCGGCCGGGCCCCTTAAAAATCAATTTGACACGAGTCCTGCAGACTCAGTGGCAACGAACGGGACCCTGAAGGATCATTTGTCAACCACGATGAAAACACCTTTGGAGTCTTTTTTCGGGCGCGCCAAGAACTTGTCCATGTGGACCTTCACATCCCGCTCAAAGCTTGTGCTATGATGCAGGTGCATCTCATGTCGGCGGAACAGAGTCGCGAAGGTAATAGTTATAACCCCCCTACTGAGATGATCTGCATTTGAGTGGTGAGTGGTGAGCGATAGCGAGCAGAGTGGAAGGGAGGGATGGGATGGAAAACTTACCTCCAAAGCAACCTCTCGTGCCGCCCGAAAAGGCCCTCATGTAGTAGCTCAGCGGTCTGGTCTTTTGCGGCTTGACTCCGCCAGGGACCAGAGGGTCAGCGCCTTCGTCGACGGTGGGCTGTCCCAGCCATCGGTCCGGGTTGAAGCGCATGGGCTCGGGGAACAGGGCCTCGTTGGTGTGCATATGCCATACGTCCATGGCGAGCGGAGTCTTGGCATCGAAGACGTAGTCGCCGTAGGTCAAGGCCTTGTTCGGGCGGATGCGTGTGAGGCGCTGCATGGGGCCGAAGGCGAGGCGGAGGGCTTTATGTGGGCTCAGTGATCAGTCTCGGCATTCAGATCTTGCACGTTCAATGGGACAACCTTACACTCGTCAATACACGCCCTCAGGTACTCGAGCTTCTCGAGCTCGCGCAGGTCGGGCAGATCATGGCTGTCGTCCGGGATCGCGTCCTTTAGTTCCTGTTGCAGGCGCTTCAGAATGGTGGGTTCCGCCAGGATGTGGTACATGCCCGTGGTCATGGTCCACACAACAGCGCCCATGCTGGCGCCGACGATGTTGATGTTCTCGAGGATGACTCTCTCGGTCTGCCGCACGTCCGCCGGTATTTTGGGGTCGGTCAGCTGGTGGACCAGGGTCCTGTCCGGGCTGTTGTCGAAGGCGTCCTTGTTTCTCGGGTCGATGATCTTGTCAACTTGCGCCTTGATCGCGGCCCGCCACTCGATGTTGGACCGCATGGTAGGCCAAGCCCAGACTATCAGGGACTCCGGCAAGAGGCCGAGCATCTTCATGAGCCACGGGAAGTGCGAGTTCCAGTGCGTGGTACCCAGCGCGCCCTCGAACGACATGGGGAACGGGTGGCCGAAATCCGGGGCGTCGATGAAGTGCGACGGCTGGCAGAAGACAATCTCCCAGATCATGTCGGTGGCGATGGAGGCGAGCATGTGGCGGATATTGACCGTGATGTTCTTGCCCGCGAACTCGGTGCTCAGGCGGTGCGAGAACCTGTTGGCGACGGACCTGATGGCGCCCTTCATGGAGGCGAAGTTGTCGAGCACTTTTGCGCGGGTGAAGAAGGGGGACACGGCCTGGCGCCGGGGCCGGTGGAACTCGCCGAGGGTGCTGAAGGAGACGACGCCGGGGAGGTTGCCGGCGGCGGTCAGGAAGGGCAGCTTGTCGACCATGTCGGTGGGGCTGAACAAGACCTCGTAGAAGGTTGGGTCGTCGACATGGATCTCGTCGGGGGTGACGCGGACCACGGGCCCGTACTTCTCGTGCATGCGTTGGATCTCGAACGGGAACTGGCCGCTCTTGATGATGCTATAGTACGTCTCGTACCATTGGGTTGCCGCAGCCAGTCTGGGACCGGGATGCTTGGCGAGCGGGTGCCAATAGAGGCGGTAGAAGACCAGGCCCACGGCGCGGACAGCCAAGAGGACTAAGAGGCCGACGAGGCCAACGTGAGTCCAGTTGGGACGCCCATCGTCGTGGTGTAGAAGCCTCATCAAGAATGAATCCCCCATCGTAGCGGTTGCTGGGTATGGATTCGGCAGGCCTCGCGGCTCTTGAGGATGCTGTTGGATAGAGCGGGTGTGACTCTACTTGCACTTCGTCTCGACTAGACCATAGAATGGCTTTAGATTGATTATAACTCAAGTTTCCCGGTTCCGCTTCTACCAAGGTCTATATAATAATCGATTCAGGGTAGAGAACCCTCACGCGGCGCTGTCTTCACCGACAGGTCTCACCTCAGCCTCTGCAAAACTGTGAGGACTGTCTCTTTCCGACCTAGCCACGATTCGGATGACGGACCGCGGTGGTGCGTGCCGATACCGATCGCAATTCCGCGTAGCTGGGCCTCAGCAAAGCCGGAGAAGTCATCCTTCACGCTTGATCCTTCACGAAACTCCGGGTGGCGCAGCAGTTGAACCCAGGGTTCTCCGACCTCTCCGTGGACGACAGCAAATCCGCCAGGTGCGTCCAGCTATCTGCTGGTATGGGCTGTTCTAGGTATTCTCTTAATGCCTTGTGTTTGATCGAACATTGATGCCATCGCTGTCCTGATGGTCTTGACAGCATTTTGGCTTGCCACCTTAGTCTTCTGGCGTGCACAAGAAGCGCAACTTAAGCGGATTCACTAAGCCTCCATCTCACCTGTTCCATTCTTTTGGTCTAGCTTCTGAGACATTATCTCAGCGACCTCAGCTTACGGTGTTATGGTGTTAGTTCCAAGCTCGTCGCCAGCTGGGCTCGCCACCACCGAGCCCAATTTGGGCTTTGGGAATACCGGGTCGCTAGCAACGTGGCAGCTATTGTTCCTGGCCCTGGCTTGCCGCTCCGGGTCCCGTTTGGGGGTATGCTCTCCATTTCTCTGCCCATCTCGCCGATCAACTGTTCGCACATTTCGGATCACGAGACGTATGTCTACCCTCCAGCGTGTGCGAGACATCAACACCAGCCTGGCTGAAGAGTATATGACGTGTAATCGGTTCTAGGAGGGCCTGATTGATCCTGAGACACGTTCCCTACTGATCATGGCCATGTAGCAGAGTAAGGTAAGAGAAGGATAATGCTGCAGCCTCTGGCAGCGCTACAATTAGAGCAGTTATAGAAAGAATATATTCTTTAAGATTATCTATTTAATTATTAACTATAAAAACTATTTATTCTTATATAATTATATAAATAGTATTAATATTCTATAAGATTATAATTTATTTAAAAGAAATTAAAAAGAATTTAATATTATGAGAGTTAAAAATATAAGGATTTTATTATACTTAAAGGGCTATAACTATTACTAGCTTTAATTACTATATAAATATAATAATTCTACTATAATTTTATTCTATTAAGTACTATTTTAATATCTAGATTTCTTTTAAATCAATTAAATTAAATAAAATTAACTTCTTTAATAAACTAAATTAATAAATTAGTCTCTTAGAATTAATTTAATTATCAAAACTATAGCGCTAGCCTCTAGGCTAATATGGATATAGGGGAGAGCACTCTATGCTGTTTCACTCTCGATTCTGAAGGATCGGGATAGGTCGTCTTTATAGTACGATCTATTGAGTGTGTTACAATTTGATATCGACTCTCGGTCGGTCAATCTAGGACCATGGAGTACAAAAAAGATTTGCAAGGTCACGACACCTCTTTCCCCTCAACAATCTTATACCTCCATCCTCTCTAACCTCTTCAGCCTCATGTAATGAAATGTCTAATTTCCCCGACCATCAACGACCATTATTGTCCGTCCCCGAACCGCCAAAAAAGAAATCAACCCATAGCCACAGGCGCATCCTGAGGATTTTGGTGACTGGGAAGCTTTTTCGCGGGCACAAATAAGGAGAACAAAAAAGCCACCCCAGAAAAGGCCAGGGCGACGGCGAAGGCGGCTTTGATGCCAACCATGTAGGCCTCGAGGATGCCAGGAAGCACGTCGGGCGGAAAGACGTTGTGCAGCTCGGACGCACCCGTCTCTATCACCTGCTGGGGGTTCACCGAGGGCGCCGTCTTTGGCAGCTCTTTAAGAAGCTGGTTCACGAAGCCGGCTTGGCCTGCCGACGTGCTGAATGCGCCGCCGATGGTTTGGTAGACTGAGAGCCCATGTTGGTTAGCAATGACGCAGGCTAGGGGTCCGATGGATAGGGGGCGGACGGGGCAACTTACACAAAAGATTGGCAGTGACTGCTGGGAGATCTTCGGGGCCGACGCCGGCTTGCGCCACGGTCAAGCCGTGCGGAATGCCAAAGGACATGAAAGCTCCGACAAAGAATTGGTAGCCGATCCATTTGCTGCTTGGGGTCCCAATGTCCATCGAGTAAATGAGCCCGAGGGCCACGGTCGTGATCATGGAACCGCTCAACATGACGGGCATGGCGTAGCCCGTCTTCATCACCACGGTGCCACCGACCAGGGAGAATATGGAGGCCGCGAGGACCAGGGGAAGATTGTTGACGCCGGACTGGATGGGGCTGGTGCCCTTGATGCTCTGGAAGTAGATGGGCAGGTAGTACAGCAGCACGATGTAGGCGCCGAGGAAGAAGAACTGGAACGCCGACGCGGCCCAAAGCGACCGCATCTTGTACAGCCGCGGCGGCATCGAGGCGTAGTCGCCCAGCCATATCTCCCAGGCGATCAGGACGATGGGGAGCACGAACGCACCAACCAGCAGACCAATCACCTCGCTGCTGTCCCAGGGGTGCGTGGGCCCCCGCGTACTGAAGACCGAGGATGAAGCAAGGTAAAAGCCCCCATGACGAGGGCGAAGCCGACCGGGATCGATGTGCA